GCAAAATGACTCAGAGCTCCCTTGGTACTGTGCCAGATGAGTATAAGCTTATTGAGGAATATTAAAGATTCCAGAACTCTTTCAATTGAATTCACATAACATCATCTTATTTTTCTCAAATTAATGAGGTTCTCTTTACCCTGGGAAAGTAAGAGTACAAATATGAATTTAATTTCAGTAACTGAAAAAGAATTTTGTCATTCTCAATTTCTTTCTTCAGAAGCACTTCCAACATGCACTGCAAAGTTCAGACTACACATATGATTATATGAATCCAGTGTCCTTTGAGGTTGTAATTTGACCCAAATAGTGAATAGTTTTATAACATCATCAATAATGGATGCTGCAGGACCATGAATAGGAAGATTTACATCTTTCATATAGCCAAACATCCCCCATACTGATCATCAACAAACTCCTCCAGGTAAAACTATATAAGGAGGCTTTCGTTCCCTCTCAAAAATAGTAAACATCTCCCCAAGGATTAAGTCAGGGCTTTAAGCATTGTCCTTTGAAATATCAGGAAAAAAATATTCATGAAGAAAAATTTAACATTTTGCACATATTTTTTATAAACGTATTGGAAAAGACAATAATTCAAAACCTTGTTTCTAAAGTTCTGGAGTTTGATGTCAGCAGACAGATTTTTTTTTTTAGAATTACTGGCTATATCTTAGCACTAATGAATGCCATGTGCCAAAATAGACAACAATGCTTGCTTTACTAAAGCTATAAAACTATGTCTTGCCAAGCATCTCAGGTGCTCCATTAGTGTACAGAGTATCAAATTTTGCAAAGCAAAATCCCTTTTTATTATTGCAATGATGTCAGGTTCCAACTTCCCCCCAAAAAAAGGGGTTCTCAGCAAAGGAATTCTTTAATGATGTCAACATGCAAATATAATGAAAATCAGATGCTAGCTGCCCTAAGCAGCACTGGTATTTTTATCCTGTTGAATGTTAAAGGAAAGTTACTGCTGATTCTTCTATGAATTCTAGCCAAATGTAAAATTTAAAAAAAATGTCTACAGTTCTAATGCAAATAATGTAATCTGACTGCTTCAATTCTCTTTCTCTGCTCTAAAACAAACCAGCTCAGTAATGTTCAAGATTCTCAGTTTCACCAAAGTATCTTTAATTATTTGTTGCTTCTGTGTCTGGGTATTACAATAATCAAATAAATAGGATTCCTTAAAATAAAGCTTCATCTACCTAATCCAGCTTCCAACCTTTTCCATTTATGCTTTCTTCTAATTAAAAAGCCATATTTTTCCAGTGGCTAGTAAGGACTGACAAAACTTCATACACATAAGGTGGGAATAAATACAAAACAAGAGAAACAAGGTATAACAATTTTTTTACCCATTTTTAACCTAAATTATGTTGAATTCAGTGTTCTGTAATCATGACAGGTGATTTAATTCAGCTATCTATCATAATATAGTGACAATGATGATTATATATTATCTGACCATGTACAACAGCATCCCACACCATTCCACTCTCATTTGGCAGGAAATATACCTTAACATATTTTGACAAATACAAAAAATTTTTTAATCCCCAGTATTATACACACAAAAAAAAAGAAAAGAGCTAGGAAACAGAATCACTTCCATTTGGTGTTTCTAATAAAGTACTAGGCATGAAAGGAAAAGTAAATAAGAAATTGGCAGAGAGAGAACATGGAGGTGGTCCTTAAATGCCATATTAAGGAGCCTGAACTGTATCCTATACATGATGGGCTTTTTGTGTTAAGCAAGCAAAGGACATAGTCAGGCTGCACTCTGGACAGATCTCTCATGGCTTTGAAAGACATAAGGAAGACCAATAATAGCTAACAGGGACTGAGCACTCACCATGCAGCAGCAGTGTGCTGTTGAGCACTTCATGCTATCCTAACACATCCTCCCATCACCACTATTTTAAAGGAGAAACATTATTTTACATAAAATATACTTTTTGAGTCACTTTTTTAGTACTTGCCCACATCACAAGAGAAGGTATTCAAAACAATTCTGATCCCTGAAACTTAGGCCTTTATCCTCCCGGAATGGAATGAGAAACAGCAGAGGCTAAAAGGCTGATAAATTCATTAGGAAACTTATTCCACATAAGAGACATTTAGGGCAATGTCAGCTGGGATGCAGAAGAGGGAACAGACTCCAGAAATATTTACAAGTTTTTTTTCTTCAGAACCTTTTTTATTTATCATCTACCCAACACTACAAGTTTTATCATGCTAAGCAAAGTAAGCCAATCCCCCAAAACCAAAGGCCAAATGTTCTCTCTTATAAATGGATGCTGATCCCTAGTGGAGGGGACATGGGAAAAATGGAGGAGCTTTGATGGGGCAAAGGGGAGGGAGGGGCAGAGAGGAGGCATGGGGGCAGGAAAGGTGGTGGAATGAGATGGACATCACTACCCTAGGTACATATATGACTGTACATATGGTGTGACACTACACTGTGTACAACCAGAGAAATGAAAAGTTGTGCTGCAATTGTGTACAATGAATCAAAATGCATTCTGCTGTCATATATAATTAATTTAAATTAATTAATTTTAAAAAATTATCAAAATCACGATTCAGTCTTAAAAAGGAGTGAAACCCTGGTACTTTCAACATGATGAACCATGAAAACATTATACTGAGAAAGCCAGTAACAAAAGAACATTATATGATTCCATTTATAAGGTACCTAGAATGGTCAAATTCATACAGATGAAAAACAGAACAGAACTTATAGGAAGCTGAATCAAAATTTGTCAGGAATATATTTTATGAAACAGTAAGAAATATTAAGATTGCATAGTTTCGGGCTGGGGATGTGGCTCAAGCGGTAGCGCACTCGCCTGGCATGCGTGCGGCCCGGGTTCGAGCCTCAGCACCACATACAAACAAAGATGTTGTGTCTGCCAAAAACTGAAAATAAATATTAAAAATTCTCTCTCTCTCTTTCTCTCTCCCTCCCTCTCTCACTCTATCTTAAAAAAAAAAAAAAAAAAGATTGCATAGTTTCTTAAGATAGCTGGGAGTCTACAACACAGGACAAGTAAACAAGTACTGCTAATTACAACTTACTCTAAGCTGCTTAGAAAAAAATAAAACTACTTATAAATTTTTTCAAAATTAGATCAGCATAAATTTCCCATATTGCTAAATATTTAAAGGTATTCTACAATAAATAAATAAGGAAGCATTTTATAAGGTACATACTCTTGTATACTTGGATTTTGTGTTTTACATACAGACCTACTTTAAAACTAATAGACAAGTGATATGAAAAATTATCCAATATGTAACCATAAAGCATACTAACACTTATCTGAAGCTTTCTATATCAGAAGCTTTACGTCTTCTATATACAACAGTTTTGAAAATTCTAAAACTTATGAGGTTGGTATTATGCCTAGTTTACAGACTGTGACTGAATTTCAGAGATTAACTTTACATAGTGCTTATAAAAGTGAATCTGGAATTTGAATTTTTTGTGCCTTCAATGCACCAGTATTCCCTAAATAATTCTTGATTAATACACAGTAACTAATCTATTTTCCTCTATCAAAAAAGTACATGATGATATCTAATGCCTAAAAGTAGAATATGTCCTTGACTCATCACACCAAAAATCTGCAAAATTCTCACAGAATACCAGAAAAAAAAAGCCTCCAAAAGTACTATGATGAAAACATATATATTTTAAATTTACAGTCATTTTTACCTCAAAATCAAATGTTTTATAATTATTAGTTTAGCTAAAATTTATCTCCAAATTTCATATTTTATGTTAAAAATGTCATGAAAAAATACTAAAATACATTTATTTCAATACTTTATAAGAAAACTAAAAATCTGCTAAAAGATTCTGTACAGGTTTCATCAAACATCAGAAATATTCTACAATGGGTCAAATATTTTCTGAAAGTTATCAGTCAATTGAAACTCCCAAAATAGTTTGACACACTCTCTTCATAGTCCCTATCTTTCCCCTAAGAAATATGAAATATTCTAAAAATAAAATGTTCAGATGGCACTTAACTGTACATTACTACAGCTTTATACAGTGGTTCTAGAGGATGACTAAGTTAGCTAGAGCATAACTTAGAGCATAACTTAGTCACATGATACCAAAATAATAAATGGAATTAGCAAAAATTCCCTTGGGGAGCTCACATTTATTTTTAGAAATGCAATGTTGTTTCTAATTTTACAACCCAAATTTTTCCATGAATCTTTCTTTTACCACTATGAATTTCTTGGAAATAAATACCTCAGATCAATTTTAATATGTAAAATTAATTAGAAACTTTCTTTTTAATGATCTGAATTCCAAAAGAAATTCAATAAAACTAGTATTTCAACAGACAAAGGGAAACAAAATTACTAGCAAGATAATTCCTTGTGTAGGGAAGTCTTTCATATGCAAGTTCAAGAAAATTAGGTAAAATAGGAAATACATCAGACAACTTTTGTACATTGACAATGAATTAATCTCAAAATATTCATTAAATACTGGGATAGATTTCTGGGTCTTTTAAATTTTATCTCTAAACCAAAAAAAAAAAACAAAACATTTCTCACAATCTAAGGGAGAGGTAAAATGGGTTACCTCAAAATAAATGCATTCTCTTTAAAGAAGTATTCTGATTCATCAATGGAAACAAAAAGTTAAGAAATGCTGAGTATGAATACTTTAAGAACTGATAGTTATACTTAAAACTATAAAGAAATAATTTTATGAAAGGAGAAACACTGGGGAATGATTCTGGCCAAATAATATGGTTATATTAGGTACATGTACAAATATGTAACAATGAATCCCACCATTATGTACAACTATAAAGTACCAATAAAAAAATAGAAGAAATAATTTTCTAAGGAAAAACCAAAACATATATAATTCTGGTTAGTATTATACCTTTAAAAAAATTTCAGGAATTCTAATCACTGGCCACAATCAGTTCCCTAATATCAAGAAGGTGAACAAAGAACTATACCTTCTCAGAAACAGGTAGGCTGCTGGGTTCCTCTATTTTTCTAGGTTGTTTTACAGAATCACATCCATACATTCTTTTTTTAAGAATGTGAAGCTGTGCATCAGTCATGTGGTGGAAAGACACCTGAGGGCCCAATGAGAGAGGCCCACTATGAAGATTCTGAGTCATGCTAGCTGAAACACTGAGCACTGGCTCCACATTAGAATCTGTCTGCAAAACCTGTGGAGGAAATACAACACCTGGAAGACTGATGTACTGAGAGTTTTCCTGCTGCCTCAACAAAGCTTCAGGCATGATTTTATGCTCATTTCCAGGAGGTACAAGTATATCACTAGTGGCATTTTTTAAGAGCTTCCTATCCACTGGCCCAGAATGTAGGATTGTGGGTTGCTGTAGCACAGTTTCCATTCTTTGTGATTTATTAGTAGCTTGAAGGGAACAAGGGTTCAGTTGTGAAACACTGGTCTGTATCATTGAAGGATGCCCAAACTGTTGAAAAACTTGTTGAACTGGATGCTGGAGAATACTTGCTCTTCCAGAAGTCTGTGTAACCATAATTGGTACATTAACTTTATAAAGGTGACCTTAAAAAGGAGAAAACAAAACTTTAAGTATTATTAGAATTCTAGCAATAGAATTAAAATTCTAATTTCCTGTAAAAAAAAAAACTCACCCCTAACAGGCTGGGAGGAAATCTATCAATAAGGTAATAGTGGTTATCTCTAGAAATTTCTCTTATTCTTTAGACTTTTTTGTATTTTCTAAAAGAAATATGTATTACTGTAGTTTTTAAATTTTCTTTTGCTTCAACTGTTTTTTCCCACTATAATTTATATGACACACTCTGAGACACACATAGGCCACCAATATTTTATCCAAGACCCTCTCCTATTGCTTGATAAACTAATCTTATCAGCCTAATGGAATTTTAACAAAGAATCATGTACAATGTATTTCATACACTTAAGATACCATTACAAGAAAAGATTATCCAAAAAAAAAGAGTTTGATAATTTCAATAGTTATCAAATTTCTTCTTCTTTCCTTTAAACTACAACTAAACAGGAGAGGAACTGAATAGTTTTTAAGCATTGAGTTAGGCACTGTACTTAAATTTTACAACACCCAAAGAATAAGTCTGATACTCTTTTAAATCAAAAGATAGTACTGAAATGCAAAGGTTGGTTAACCTCCAAACTTATGGCTGTTTTTTCTATCAGGGGATGCAATCTCCAATTCAAAAGGAGGCAAAGGTTGATCAACCTAATCTTTGGTTTTCCTTGATTAGAGCTACCAAGAACACAGATAAATCCTTTTGCTTGTATTTGCTAAAATTTAGATAATTGACTTGAATTAGAGAAAATAGATACAAAGCATCTTACACAAGGTTGGAAAAGAGAATTCAGAATGAATTAGATATAGGACAGGTATCATACAGTGTTCTTTGTGGTAGATGGTGTCTATAACAACAATAACTGCAACTTAATACCATTTTTTAAATATTTATTTTTTAGTTGTAGCCAACACAATACCTTTATTTTATTTATTTTTATGTGGTGCTGAGGATCGAACCCAGGGCCTCGCACATGCTAAGCAAGCACTCTACCGCTGAGCCACAACCCCAGCCCAACTTAATACCATTTTTAAAATAGGTTTTATTGAAGGTTCCTTTAACTTCTGGTATAGTTCATTAAACAATATGAGATTTAATATCCAGAGTTAGCACCAATGCTAACTAAAAATAAAATATTCTTAGAAATTCATCTCACCAGATGCAGTCTGTAGTGTCACACCTGCTGGTACATGAATAGGATAACCAGGAAAAGTAAAGTTTGCACTGGAGTTTGAAGTGCCCTAGATAGAAGAAATTTATATTAGAAAGTTAGATTTATATTTTATATTTATATTAGTTAAATTTATATTAGAAAGTTATATATTTTATTTATATCCTTTCCCCATGGTATCACAAGGAGTGAAAAAAATCTGATTCCAGACAATAGAATAATAATTTGACAATACTCGACATTTAATACTAGGTCTGAGTTCTTTGAATAAAATGGCTTTTGAATATGTAGTCATTAACAATGAAGCCAGTAACGTTTTTCCCCCTTTCTATAGCTCTCCTCAGTAGCTTCCTTTATGAAGTCAGTAAGTCTTAATGAATAGAATGAACATCAATTCATAAAACTTACCCAATGCCTAGCTTTGACTGGGCCATTGACTCCTAAGGTGTCAAATATAAGAACCACAGCTATTCATAAGGGTGCTTTAGTCTCTAAGTTGATCATGAATGGTATTTTGAAATAGATATGATAATGCATAATTCATAATAGTATATAATTTTATTTTTGGAATAATTAAACCCTAGAGTTTTAAAATTAAAAATAAAATCAAGACAAAGAAATATTTTATCTATCCGATCTGAAATTTTTAAAAAATTGATAAAATAGGCTAGGGATGTGGCTCAGCTAGTAGAGTGCTTGCCTAGCATGTGCAAGACCCTGGATTCTATCCCTAATATCACACACACACACACCACAGAAAAGATTGATAAGTAGCACCCTATGTTGGTGAGGATGTGAGGAAAAACTAGTTGCCTTAGGCTACTGTTTATATGAGTATAAACTAGAACAACCCTTTAGACAATTTAGCAATGTATTCTAAAATTGAAAATATGACCTTTGACCCAGAAATCCTACTTTTAGGAATCTACCAAGTTGTCACTTAAACAACAGATAAATACAACTATAACCAATGGGATGCTATACATTTTTTTAAAAATGAAAAGAATTTAAAGGTCCATCTGCAAAAAGCTGGTTAGTTGAACCATGGTATATCTACTACATCCAATCTATGTTTACTGGCATTAAAAGGAGTCCATCTATATTACTAAAAGAAGAGGGAGGGAGGGAGATCAGGGGTAGGGGGTGAAGGGAGGGAAAGAGAGGAAATACAAGTGCATATGGAAGGAAGGAAATTACAAAAACAGTAACAAATGTAATCCTACTTTTTGCCCTGAAAAGTAATGTACAGCTCATTAAATAAGTCTAGTGAATATTTATCAAACAATTAAAACCATTATCTTTGGGGTATAAGACTACAGGGCTCTTTCACATTTTACTTTATAAATTTGTTTGGTTTTACTTCATATAAGCATATTATTCCTTTAATAAGGAAAAAAAAGATATTTCCACTAATCTCAAAAGCCGAGATATTTCAAAGGTTTCCTATCAAAAGCAGAGCCATTCTTTCCAAAAATCTAGTTAAGGAATAGTCTTTGTTTGTTCTTAATGAAGAAATGGAAATAAGTGGCACATTTAATCTTGTACCTTAAAAGGTAGCTCATGGACTAGAAGAAAATGAAAAATAGTTAATGGATTATATGCCATCAGTACCATGGAAGAAAAGTAAAAGTGAAAATGTGTCATTCTTTCCACCTAAAAAACTACTCAATTTTCTATGAATAAGTAATAATGTTTATCTCCTATCTCCAAGTCCTAGGGAGGTAGGAAACTATTTCATAAAAGTATGAAATGACCAAAATATTTCACTTAAATAAAAGGAAGAACTATAAAGTCACTCAACTCTGGAGGGAAAAAAATCAGAAAAAAATAACACATCGAAATTATCTGCATTAAGGCCCACCAAGCATATAACACTATATGGTATATTAAAACCCCATTCAATGTAACTGTAGAAATTTCCTAACCTTGTAAGTACAGTTTGGGCAGATGCTAACAACTGCACTGGAAGACAGGAAAAACTAGTAAGAAAATGTTGATTCTGAATCTCCTGAGCTTTTCTATGATATGGAAGCTATTCTATGATATGTGTCCCACTTCTTACCACATCTTTTCTCTAAAGGATCATGAATTACATCTATGCCCAACATTATCCCACCATTCACTAAAAATAGTGCATATCTTTTCAATTTTAGCCAGGTGCTGTGGCATAGGTCTGTAATCCTGGCTACTTGGAAGGCTGAGGCAGGAGGATCACACTTCAAAGTCAGCTTCAGCATCTTAGCGAGACCCTGTCTCAAAATAAAAAATAAAAAGGGCTGGGAAGGTAACTTGGTGGCAAAGCACCCCTGGTTTTAACTCCCAGTACCAAAAAAAAAGTATTTTAAATAAGCTACATACCAGTTCTGCTGTGGCAAAACTTGGAAGAGTTCTACCAGTAGGAATAACTAACGATGCTGCATAGAAAATAAAATAAATATTACACATTCATTAGAATTTATTAATTTAATTGCTAAATAGATTAAAAAAAAACATATTCTATAATGTTAGACCATAGTGAATTCTAAACTTCCAGTCCAAATGAGAACAGAAGTATTTAATTATAGTTTTCCGCAACTTTAGATAGACTTTACAACTAAACTACTTTAAGTATCAAAGGTAAATATTTCTGTATAATCAGGCATACTGTACTTTAGGAATCCATAACAACATCTGCAGATTGTCTTTAGTAAGTAACTGTAGCACTAAGTCTCCATTACAACTTATACAATAAGGAAAGAAACTTCAGACCAATATCTCTGATGAACATAGATGCAAAAATTCTTAATAAAATGCTGGCAAATTGCATAGAAAAACATATTAAAAAGATAGGGCACCAAAATCAAGTGGGTTCATTCCAGGGATGCAAGGCTGGTTCAATATATGGAAATCAATATATATAATTCATCACATCAACAGACTTAAGAATCATATGATTATCTCAATAAATGCAGAAAAAACATTTGACAAAATTCAGCACACATTCATGCTCAAAACACTAGAAACACTAGGGATAATAGGAACATAACTCAACATTTTAAAAGCTACAAATGCTAAACCCAAGGCCAATATCATTCTAAATGAGAAAAATTGAAGCATTCCTTCTAAAACCTGGAACAAGACAGTGATGCCCTCTTTCACCACTCCTAATTGAACATAGTCCTGGAATCCCTAGCCAGAACAATTAGACAAAGGAAAGAAATTAAAGGGATATGAATAGGAAAAGAACTCAAACTATTCCTATTTGCCAATGACATGACTCTATATTTAGAAGACCCAAAAAACTCCACCAGAAAGTTTCTAGAACTCATAAATAAATTCAGCAAAGTAGCAGGTTATAAAATTAACACCCATAAATCAGTTGCATTCCTATACACCAACGACAAATCAGCTCAAAGACAAATCAGGGATGCTATCCCTTTAACAATAGCCTCAATAAAATAAAATATTTGGGAATGAATCTAACAAGTAAGGTGAAATACCTCTACAACGAAAACTACAGAACACTAAAGAAAGAAAGTGAAGAAGACCTCAGAAGATGGAAAGATATCCCACGTTCTTGGATAGGCAGAATTAATATTGTCAAAATGGCCATACTACTAAAAGTGCTCTACAAACTTAATGTAATTACTGTAAAAATTCCAATGACATTCTTCATAGAAATAGAAAAATAAGTTGTGAAATAGAAAAAGGAAAGCATACATTTGGAAAAATAAGAGGCCCAGAATAGTCAAAGCAATCCTTAGAAAAGTGATGCAGAAGGCATCACAATACCAGACTTTAAATTATACTACAGAGCTATAGAAACAAAAACAGCACAGTATTGGCACAAAAACCATAAATGAAGACCAGTGGAACAGATTAGAAGACACAGAGTCATATCTATATAAATACAACTATCCATTGGGAAGAAAAAGTAATATTTGTTAAGTGGCATATTTCTATGAAACTATACTATTGATCAAAAATATGTAACTTGACATAAATCCATTCTGAATTTTATAGATTCAAATAAGTTTCAATTCATTTCATTAAAAGTTATTTATGGTACTTTAGCCATGTTAGCAAGCACAGCTACACCACTTTAGGAACAAACGAATGAAAATACTTTGTAATGAAACCACTATGACTGATAAGAAAAATAGAATAAATTATCTAAAGTGAAACCCTTAATTTGTACAATTAATATGGCTCAATAATTTTAAGATTCTATTTATAAAAGGAAAAGAACAAATTCTTAGGAGAATTGCAACGCAACCTACATTAAAGCCACAATCCCATACATCTTTCCTTTATTATCTGCCAATTTTCTATGCTGACTATTGCTTTGTTTCTAATGCATCCAAAAGGTGGACCAACTGGTTGTAAATGTAATCTATCATTAAAAAATTATGTATAGGAGAAGATGGCCGCTGCGCACGGGGGTTGCTGAAGTGCTGAGCGTGGTGCTCAGAGCAGCGGCTTTAATCGAGATTTCGCACAGCATGTAAGAGCTCCTTTCACCGTTAATCTGTAGCGGACCACTTTGCCAAGCAGCAGGAAGAACAAAGAGATCGAAAAAGAGACGCTTGGCACCCGGACGCTTTGCCGCCAAGAGCCGCGGGCGCTTTGCTCCCATCTGCTTCCTCTTTCGCTTCGCTCCGGGCAGAGAAGGTGAATGTGTAATCAGCAGTGGATTGTAAGTACCCTAGGCAAAGAAAGCTCAGTGCGCCCTGCCTTTTTTCTTTTTTTTTTTTTTTTTTGAATATTTTTTATACAGGGAGAGTTTGTGGATTGGGATTGTTGGCTGGGCTGCGGTTTCTGTGCTGAAAATCCACTCCGCGGGAGCCGCCATTTGCTCTCTGCTAGCTGTCTTGATGGCTATGTCTACATTGTCCGGCAGCCGCACCTAGAGGTTGGAACTGGGCTGCGTGCCGAGCCCTGTCCTCCAAAGGCTGGACCGCAGCCTTGAGCGCCTGGGTCGCCTGTTCGCCGCTGCACCCTCGGGCAGAGCCTGCTCTGGGGTAGTTCCACATCCCCCTGCGAGGGGACCCGTGCTTCAGAGGAGGGAGCCAGAAAGCCGCGGCGGCAGCCGCTTGGGCCCCAGGGGCTGGGCACCGGTCGGCGGCGCAGCTACGGTCACGGACGAGCGCGGCGCCCCTGAGCGTGGCCCCGGGGAAGAGGCGACGGCGGCAGGGTTTAATTTCTAGAAATCTGGACTGGAAACAGAAGCAGCAGTTTGTATAATCCCAAGAACTTGCTTATGTCAGGAAGCTGTAAGGGCAACATGAATATCATTGAGGAGATCTAACATGGCAGCGGGCGGGGAGAGATCAAGTCTCTGACCTCTTCAACTGAGCGGGCATAGGGAGCTGTAAATTGTATAAATGCTGTTTGCTCAGGATCACTAGGCAATGCTGAGCTGACGTGGACCTGGGGTGTACAGTCTGGGCCCCTCAGAACACACACACCGAGCCCGGATCGGCTGCATTCAAGCTCTGGTTCGCCTGCTTCTCGTGACTCAGCACTAACAATCCCGCTGAAATAACTGGTTGGCCCTTAGGAACTTTCAGAGGTAAAAACCAACCAAGCCTTCATAGGCAGTGGCCACAGGATTGAAACGGGGATTGGGAGAGACAGTCAGGACCCACCCGTTGAATTGGTCACCCGGCAAAGGGAGCGAACGGTCACCATTTGCATGTGATACCACCGTGGCAGAGAACTGACATCACGGGCGAAGCAGATAACTGCATTGAAACCAGCGCAACAGGGCTCCCAGGAGCAGCAAACATGGCGTGTAGCCAGTATTGTGGTGAGCGTCACAGGTAAGCGCGGCCTGGCTTGAGGAAACACAAGAGAAGGCCCTAGGCACTCAGGATTGGAGACCAGCCCAGTCTGTGAGGAAGAGCTGCTACACAGTGATTGGTTCCCACCTAGTGAGAGGAGAAGCTTGACCCAGTGGGCACAGCTCCACCTACTGGAAGAGAAATTAATCGAACTCTATGACTGCATTTATTATTATTATTATCATCATTTTTTTTCTTTTTCTTTTTTTTTCTTTCATTTTCAATTTTTTTTGTTGTTGTTCTTTAACTTTTTTTAATGTTTCTAATTTTTTTTAATTTTTTTATTATTATTATAATTTTTTTAATTTTAATTTTCATTATTTTTATTATCATTATTATTTTTGTAAAAAAATTTTTTTTTCTTTTCTTTCTTTCTTTATTTTCTAACTTTATTGTGTGTGTTTTCTTTTTGTTTCTTTTGTCTTTTCATTTCTTTTCAATTTTCTTATTCCCCCTTCCTTGAATTCTACCTGCCTACTCTCATTCTCATTAGTGACTTCTTCCCTTCCCTTCTAATATCTTTCCTCCCAAGCATCAAATAAATTTATAAGAGTAAACAGTAACTCAGCAAACAGAACAAGAAGTAACATGAGCAGCATAAAAAAGCAAGGAAGAAAAGGGGTACAAACAATGAAGGACAGCCTAAATATTCAGGAGGACCTAGAGTCAGCAGAAAAATGGTCATATAAAGAACTCAAGGAATACCTTAGACAGATGGAATGGAACCTTAAAGAGGATACGAGACAGCAAATCCAAACAGTGAAAGAACACTTTGAAAATGAATTACATAAACAGATAAAAGAAGAAGTTAAGCAACTTTATCAGGAGATAGAGATTATTAAAAAAAATCAAACAATAATTCTAGAAATGAAGGAAACAATAAACCAAATTAAAAACTCAACTGAGAGTATCACTAACAGAGTGGAGCAAGTAGAAGCCAGAATGTCAGATAATGAAGACAAAATATATCATCTTGAAAAGAGCCTAGCCAACTCAGAAAGGCTGGTTAAAAATCACGAGAGGAAACATCCAAGAGTTATGGGATAACATAAAAAAACCAAACTTACGAGTCATCGGGATAGAAGAAGGTACAGAGATTCAAACCAAGGGAATGAGTAGCCTGCTGAATGAAATAATTACAGAAAACTTTCCAGAAATAAAAAAGGAAATGGATATACAAATTTTAGATGCATACAGGACACCAAGCACACAAAATCACAGTAGACCAACGCCAAGACACATTGTTATGAAGATATCCAATATACAGAACAAAGAGAAAATATTAAAAGCTACAAGAGAAAGGAGGCAGATTACATTCAGGGGTAAACCAATAAGGTTAACAACGGATTTTTCATCACAGACGCTGAAAGCGAGAAGATCCTGGAACAACGTATTTCAAACACTGAAAGACAATGGATGCCAACCAAGAATTCTGTATCCAGCAAAATTAAGCTTCAGGTACGACAACGAAATAAAAATCTTTCATGATAAACAAAAGCTAAAAGAATTTGCAGCCAGAAAACCAGCATTGCAAAGCATCTTGAGCAAAACACTACACGAGGAAGAAATGAAAAACAATAACCAAAACCGTC